TTTAATCCTGGTCAAAATGAAATGAAACGACAGACCTTAAACAACCGACTGAAAATACTGTACTCACTTTTTTTCCAAATCAAAGTTGAAAATCAGACAAAAACCTCACAAATTTACGGTTCTGTAAAAAAAGAAACAGTTACAAAAACTACAGACATTTCAATCCAAAATTTAACGACTTATAACAGGAGCTCCTTTGTACGTAAACAACAAAACTTTACATAACGACTTACGACAACCAACTATCGACCAACACATACGCGATTTCTCCATATTTTATCTTAAACTACACGGACATCACAACGGACTTATTAATGACATGGCAACAGCTGACATGCCTACCAGGAGACGACTAAAGAGGAGCTGGATGAGAGATCTTCTTTCTTGAATTAAGGAAATATATCAAGACCAGGAAGAAGTGCAGCTGGGTATTATTTTTTTTCCTCATGCCTAAAATGTCAATTTTTCGTATTAGTTACAGCATATCTGCTCATTGTCAAGCTCATGATTGGTGTGGATGGAAATATGAAGAAAAAAAATCTCTGGTAGTTTAAATATAAATCAAATATTTGTTATATTTAAATGGAGATGAAATAACTTTTTTATCTCATGATAGCTAGAATAAAAAACGGCTGATTAGCCTCTCTATTGCTAAACTTCCTATGAACGCAAGAAATGTTAAGGTTTACATCTAAACTAGAAAACCGTCGGGATGTCATAATACAGGCTTATTGAACCTTAAGAAAAGTTTAATAAGCCTGTTTAATAAGTATAATTTATTAGTATTTTTTATAAATATTCGTCTCTTATTTTTTTTTATTTATTTAATTTTCAGGGTTTATATTCTTACATATTTTGTTACATATATATGAAAATAGATTTCTGAATATAGATCTCTTTTTCAGCTCCGAAGCGATGGATTTTTACGAATGAAGTATCAATAGGTAATGAATATCACGTGGAATGTGCGAGTCGTAATTTTGATTCTCAATTTTTTTTAAGGAGGAACAAAGTTGAGATTTGTACTTCCCATCCCGCACAACCCCCAAATACGAATTTTCATAGCAATCGTTATTTCAAAACATTCACGAGTCTGAACCATTTAACTAAAAAAAAAACGGACAAGTCGTTCGCTCAACAAGTTGTAACATACCTTATAACGGGCATTTAACAAACAGTAGGTTTGTTAACGATAACAAATTTTAATTTTACTTATATCCTAAGAACTTTTGAGGATATTTTAAGAACAATTAAGAAATGCAAGTTTAATTACATTCCTTGAAAAACAAAACATATCTTCAAACTCGATCAAGCATGCTTGACAAACATTTGACGATCCGTCAATGCCCTCATACACAATCAAACACGCTTGATAAGCGTGGAGCTTTATCAAGATATCAGTCCCTGTATGGTATTGTTGAAGATTTCTCCAACAGATTCACCTAAATCAATGAAATATTTAGCAATATTATTTTAAGCCATGATGTGTTTAAAAACTATAGACATTTCAATATTTTGTAACTGTAGAGGAAATAATCTTCTCTACTTCTAAAATCATACAAACCATTTTATATTTCGAACATATCTATAAAATTCGTAAAATAATCTGGTTTCTAAAAGAGAAATTTATAAAAGTTCTTAATATGTTGAGGCAATGAAACCTCATTAGATAACTTTTTGCATTAGCCTGGCTATTAATTGACTTAATTCACTACCGAAAAACATAAATTATTTAGAATTTGATTTATTTTTCTTTACATAATTGGTTTCATTTCCTGGTTATGCTAATATGTACTTAAGCTTTTATTATTGATTACATTCAAAACGCTAAATTTATTTCGTTTTATTTTTCAAATATTCTCAACACTCAACATCACCATGCAAAACCATTTTGTCCAAAAACGTCTTAATCCAATAAAAGTTTACATATAGTAAGAAAATATCACTTAATTTCTTTGGAAACATGTGATTTAAGCTAAATAATGTTAGTTTTCTGACATTATTATTTATAATGTTTTCGCCACTCTATTTTACCTTCTACAACTTTCTATATTAGATTTTGTTTTTTCTAACATTCTCCGCTTTCCAACGATATATTATAAGTATACCTTCTGACTTGTATTTCCGGAGATTTTCGACCGGTATAAGCATTTATATTTTTTTTCTCCTTTATTCAATTATCAGATTCTTTCATAAGTTATATTTAGCATTTTTTTGCTAAATATTTTACAAAGCTGCTAATTATTTCACAATGGTTTATTGTTTCTAAACAATTATACATCTAAGGTAACATACCTTCCTAGTTACAAAGAGAAATAAATAAAAGGTGATTCCAATTAATGGACTAAACTTTTCTTTATAAACATTAGTAATATGCTAAAAAAATTAGCATCAGCTAAGTAACACAATCAAAATTCAAAAACCAAAACAAAGGATATAATATTTGCAGCTGAACGTACTAGAAAAACTAGATACCATATCTTATCTAATAATTGTCCGATTTTGACAAAAAAAAATTTATGCTATTCTGTAAACTTTTAGAAAACTGTACATCTGAAAAAAAAGTGTATACTTTTTGAGTTATTCAGAATTTAATTTTTCCATCCCTCGTAACTTTTTTCCCTTTTTTTATAAAGTATGTTACATAGATAAATTTAAAGGGTGTCGAGAAAATGACGTTAGCGAAGTTTCATTGAAATCGGTACATTCGTTTAGGCGCTATAGTCTGTAGCGACGCAGGTTTTTCTGCATTATTATTTTTTTTCTCCTTTATTAACTCATCAAATTCTTTCAAAAGTTATATTTAGCATTTTTTCGTAACTCTGAATAATGTGAAATGATAAGCTTCTTAAAATAAACCATATTAAAGGTACTTTAGAAGAAGACGTATTTGAACATTGGGCATTAAAGGCCTGTAAAGTAACATCAATGGAGATAAGACCTAATTGATATTAAAGACCACTCAATTATGCAATGATACACTGAGTTTAATTTAAATCGTTAGAGCCGTTTTGGGGAAAATTATGAAAATGTGTTTCAGCGTTGATATAAAGTGGCGCTTCCTGTTAGCCGATTTTAAGGAAAAAGTTGTCGTCACATCTAAGTCATGTACCTATCTTAAATACTTAATATCAGTTTAGTAGGACTTTTCGTTTTTGAGCTAGACTGCTAACATACAAGCACAGAGACACACAGAACATTTTTCGGGACTTGTAAAAATGTGTTCTAACGAATGAGATTACATAGGTCAGATAGTTCACAATTTTAAGCTTCTTTGTGCTTCTTATAAAATATGTTGTATAATAATGATTTGTTGCGATTTTGATAATAATTTCCTGAAATTCAATATTCTTAACCCAGGTTGACTTTTTTTCCCCTACATTGAAAATAAACATTCTCAATTGTACCTTTTTTAGCAATCTACAGAATTTGTGATTCTCCATGATGGCGGAATACTTGAAACTTATATTTATGCCCATATGGTACATTAAAATATCAAGTCACTGTAGTCAACTTTGATTTATTTTATGAATTCTCACACGTTAGGGATCTGGGTAAATTTATGTCATAGGGGCCCATACACTGTATAACCCTTAGCGTTGTCTTCCATACCTGCCATGGTATGGTCAGCTCAAGTACCAGAAACAGTTAGAATTTCAGAAGAAGGCTTTATTGCCAGACCACAAATCCTACGATCCTGACTGAAAACCAATAGGTTTATGAATCGTAAAATTGCAAGCGTTAGCGATCGCCGCGCGGTGGGATATGAGGCCAAGGAGTGGGACGTTATTTACGAGCAAGTAGCGTCTCTAAATCTCAGGGACTAGTTGTTCGGCAACGGCGTTTTTACTGCGATGAAGATTATATCCGATAAATATTGAGAATGCTCTATTGAGATATATTGCCCGACCAATATACACAGGGCCAACAGTGTAGGGATGAAGTTGCTTGATAGTAGGGGATGTTGTATAGCAGGACGGCACCCTGAGGAATATACTTTGCTTTAGATTTACCCTTTGTTGGGAAATATGTTTAACCTAAACTCCGATTCATTATAAACTCTTTACGGCTCCAGGTTTTTCATTAAAAAAATGAGCCATTTCTTATTCTTTTTTAAATTTATATATTTTAAATTTAACCTTTAGTGCACTAGCGGATCCAGCCTTGGGATTTCTTCAAATAACACATATTAAAAGAAATGAGAAATATAGGAAAAATTCATCCTCATAGACGAATTCTCTAATGTAATATAACAAAAAGTTCCTCATCTGGATGTTAGAAAAATAATTCCGAAAAAATAAAAAACAGAAAAACGTCTATTTAAAGAAAACATAGATGTAGTTTTTCGGCCGCCTTGAGATGCGAAGTCTTTTGCTCCTTTCGCAGTGTTTCCTATTGACTCCGAACTGAGTCTGGCAGGTGAAATACACGATGGAGGAAAATTTACTAAAAGAAAAATTTCATTTATTCTTTCGAACCACCTTTATTCTTTTATTCGAGCACAAACAAATAGTTTTAATAGATCTGAACGAGTACCCAATTTTAAGTACCCAATTAAATATACAAAGTTTGTCGATCACTATATTGAAAACGTCCCAAATCCAACAGTTTTCGTTAGTCATTACTACTAGTCATTCATTGTTGTGTAAAGGCTTCCTAATGGATTGTTCCGAGCTACATAGTCCCCCCCCCCTCTCCCATACTAACCTCCTTGTTTTCATATCATGAGATATCAATTGATGACCAGTTTATATAAGCTGTTGTTTGTTGGTGTACCATTACATAATAACTATATATAATGTTATTCTGAAGTATTACAATCTTGTTCACCAGATAAAATAAAACATATCAGTGGATACTTCAATAATGCACTGTAATACTGGCAAATGTTCCAAGCATCTGCATAATTTTATCACTGCATAATAATATCACGTCAATTTTTTTACCACGTTACTTACGTAATTTTTTTTTCTCTTTCTTCTTTTCTCTCGCTTATCAAGATGGTTTTATGCCCAATCTGTAAACAGACCATAGCAAGAGAAGAAAAAAAAACAATGGCATGCACTGTCACATGTCAAGCCATTTTCCATGGAAAATGTCTAAACGCAGACGAGAGTGAGTTTGAAGCACTGAGGGCATTACGAAAAAATTGGGTATGCCCGAAATGTGAAAAGGCACGGAAAAATATCCAACCGACAGACAAGTGTCTCAGCCCGCCAAGATCGGCGCCACAACAACAAACTGTCGACAGCACGTCACAATTGTTACTTGCTGCCATTAAAAATTTAACAGAAGAGGTCAAGGGATTAAAATTCTCCCTCGATGCCAATGCTAACGAGGTGAAAGAATTAAAAATATCTCTCGAAAAGCAAGCATCCATAACTTTTGAGAATGCGGCGAAATTAGAGTCACTACTGGAGGCTCAAAATTCCAAGATTGACGGACTGGTCTTGGAAAACACGACTCTCAAGTCTCGGGTCTCGGAGCTCGAAATCAGGCTCAATAAAAGTGAGCAACTGCACCTTTCCAGGTCAATAGAAATAAGAGGAGTCCCAGTGAGATCTGGAGAGACCCCGATGGGCCTGGTTATGAGCGTGGGGGCGGGCCTGGGCCTTAGTCTAAAGGTGGAGGACATTGACTATGCAGAACGGATAAGAAACAGGCAAGACGATACACCTGGGCCGCTTGTGGTAAGGTTCGTCCGGCAGTCGCTTAGGGATGAGTTGATCCAGAGGCGAAAAGTCATTAGGGATTTTTCAACACGTCACCTCGGATGGCAAGAAAATGACGCCCACAAGATCTACCTGAGCGAAGCTATGTCCGTAACCAACAGACACCTGTACTGGCTGGCCCGGCAAAAGAGGTCTGCAGGAAAAATCAGGTACAGTTGGTTTAGCGCAGGCAAGGTGAAATGTCGACGAGACGATGGACAGCAGGTCGTCGTCATCAACTCACCATCAGATTTAGAAACGTTTGCTTGACATGCATATACATGTTACATCACTTTGAACAATTTTGTTTTTACTTTTTTATATCCCCAGTTTTATGTTTTTGTTGCGTTAGTTTTAATAATAGACTATGATAATAATTTCATTTTTGTTTATGAGAATATTTTAGGTCTGATCTGTCCAGAAACTCTAATTTGTGTATTTTTTTTCTTTTGCACAATAGGAATATGCTTTTCGTTAACTAAATTTTATATTTTTTGTTTACCATCCTTATTAATATCTAGGAGATCTTGCACACAATTGGCTCTAGCTGCTGTAGAAATATTCCTATCCTTAACTCCTTCTGTCCGTTTACCAAGCCACCCCTCCTTCTTCAAGCCACCCCTCCTTCTTCCATGACTAATATCCTTCTAACCTGCCACGTCAACGCTCAGTCACTCTTAGCCCATTTTGATGAATTTTACGACTTTTTTCTCCATAACTTCTACCATTTAATTGCCGTATCCGAAACCTGGTTGAAATCCACAATCCCGTCCTCCCAGATCCTTCTACCTAACTATACTCTCCTTCGTCATGACAGAGTAGATCGCACGGGTGGTGGAGTAGGTCTCTTTGTCCATGACAGTCTCAAATCCAAAATCCTTCACTGCTCTTCCATAACCGATTCTCCGCACGTTGAATACCTTTTCGCCGAAATCCTCACCACCTCATCTGCCATTCTGTTTGCTGTCATATATCGCCCTCCTAGAATTCCTTTCGATGAATCACTTGAGACTTTATTGTACAACTTAATCCCTTCCTACTCAAACATCATCCTCTCCGGTGACTTTAACACCAATTTACTGGCACCATCCTCTGATTATTCCTACCTAACAAACCTCTTTAATTCTCTCAGCCTTTACATAGTACCCTACAATCCAACCCATCATACTCAGTATTCAGAGTCCTGGCTCGATCTAATTATCCTGGATTCCTCAGACAAACTCCTTGCCGCATCTCAGCATCCGGTTCCGTTTCTATCTTCCCACGATCTTGTCCAGATCTCTTACAATGTCCCTGTTCCATCCTTTTCTCCCCGAACAATATCCTTCCGAAACTTAGATTATCTCACTCACGAAACATTGTCAGAAGGTCTTGACGATATCCAGTGGGATCCCATCTACTCCTCAAAATCCATAGACACCATGGTAGAAATCCTAACCACTCAACTTCACTCTATCCTCGATCGACATGCTCCTCTTATCACAAAAACCATCCGATATCCTCCAGCTCCTTGGCTTACCCCTGCTTTGAGGGAGTGTATGAGAGAAAGAGATGCTGCAAGGCGACGGTTTAAACGAACTCGACTTCCTGATGATTTTCTCTCCTACAAACAGCTTCGAAATAGCACTCAATCAGCAGTACGCCGTGCTAAATCCCGTTACTACCATCATTCCCTATCCAACTCTCCCAATACCAAGGCTACGTGGGCTATTCTTAGAAAACTGACCATTGGTAATACACCCCAGTCTCAGTCCAATTCCGTTTCTGCTGATAACCTCAACGCTCACTTTGTCTCCTGTCCTCTTGCATCCACATCTCCCACGTCCAGTCTGGCTCCTATGTTCTCTTCCTTTAATCCTGATCACTTCTTTCTTTCCCATATTACACCAGATGAGCTCCTTAAATCCATTCAGAAGTCCCATACCAATGATTACGGTCCCGACAACATCCCAGTCAGACTGATTAAAGCCGCATTGCCATCCATTCTTCCGATCCTTTATCATATATACAATTATTCTCTTCAAAATGCTACCTTCCCTACATCCTGGAAAACCGCCCTAGTACGGCCATTGAAGAAGACTTCAAAGCCATCAGTTCCTAATGATTTCCAACCGATTTCCCTCCTTTCAAACCTCTCAAAACCATTAGAGCGGTTAGTCCAATCCCAGCTATCCCATTTTTTAGAGGACAATAATCTCCTAAATCCCTACCAGTCTGGATTCAGGCCTGGTTATTCTACTCAGTCTGCCCTAATCAAAATTTCCCAAGACCTTCACACAGCCATAGATCAGCAGAAACTAACCATCCTTATTCTCCTAGACTTCTCCAAAGCTTTTGATTCAGTAGACCACAACATCCTCCTAACCAAACTTAAAAATATCTCTTTTTCTTCTAGTTCCCTTAATTGGTTCCAATCCTTCCTAACCGGTCGCTCCCAGTACGTTGTAATTCCTAATAACCCACCATCAGAATCTCTACCTCTGACCAGAGGCGTCCCACAAGGCTCTTCCTTATCCCCCACCCTTTTCTCCATCTATATAAATGACCTCCCATCCTCTATCCTGCACTGTCATTACCACCTGTATGCCGACGACATTCAAATTTACCTCTCCTTTAATCCGACAGATATCTCAGATGCCACTCAAAAACTTCAGGAAGATATTGACAGAATAAGTGCTTGGGCAAACCTCAATAGGCTCACTCTGAACGCCGAGAAGACAAAAGCCATCTTGATCGGATCCCCTTCACTCCTCAAATCCTCCCCAGTATCTCCCAATCTCTTCCTGAACAACTCACCTATCTTATTCTACACCACCGTTAAAAACCTAGGTGTTACTTTCGATCAATCCCTATCCTGGAAACCTCACATCTCCCAAATTTCCCGTCGCACTATCTCCACCCTAAAACAGTTCAATCGTCTACGATATCTCCTTCCATATAAGTCCCGTCAACTCCTAGTTTCCTCCCTTGTTTTCCTCCACTTCGACTACGGCTGTATGGTGTACGGTGGACTCCCGGGAGATTCCGAGGCCAAACTTAAACGCCTAATGAATTGCGCACTACGATTTGTTTTCGGAATCTCAAGGGATACGCATATTACCCAGTATTACACTGAGTTGAGGTGGCTCTATCCATCCTATCGCCGTCAGTACTTCCTAGCCACCTTTCTGTACCAAATTATTAGAACCCATCGACCCTCCTACATTTTTCACAGCTTACAATTCAAATATTCCATCCAATCCCGTCCCACCAGATCTCGTACTTCCGACCTCTATCCTCCTCCTCACCGAACTGCTGCGTTTGACAAATCCTTTGCAATACAAGCCGCCTCCCTCTGGAATTCCATCCCACCTGATATTCGACACGCTCAATCAGTTTCCTCGTTTAAACCACTCCTCTTTAAGCACCTACTCCTTTCTCAATCCGAATGATTGTGAAATATATCTTAGAGAAATATCTGAGCACCACCAGAGACTACCTCAATTTATTAAGGTTATTTTAGTTTCTCATACATATGTACAATTTACTTGTTCTTTTTTTTTTCTCTTTTCTGTATTTTTATCGTAAGTCAACTCTCATTGTAAATATACAATTCAATTGTAGCCACACAGACATATAATCTGTATTCATATTTTGTTCTTAAGGGACAACAGTCCCAGAATAATAAAACATTTTTTTCATTTCATTTCATTTCATTTCATTTCATTTCATAATGACTCGGCATAAGCATTCCAGACTCCGGCATTTCCGGAGGCTTCCGTCATTTTGCTGCCTCATTTTCTTTAGAGATTAGTCTGGGTGACAAGTTAAAATTATTTGCACTTTTTTTGTTTTTAAATGCACGGCGGTTTCCTAATTCCTCATAATACAATATAAAGTCAGAGAACCACTTTCTTTATTCATAGGAGTGTTGTATTTCGAAAATTTGATCATACAGGTACGTATCTTTACAATTGTGGATTGTCTCAAGTTATGTTCTTCTTTGAGATCAGAGGCCAATTGTTGATGAACCATTGATTATCTCTTTTAATTCAACGGTTTTTATCATAATATTTGATCCTATATTCTGAATGTCTTTCTCAGTAGCCAGAATTTAATTTTGGGGGAGGGGCTTCAGTCCGAAAGATTTTTTTTCATATATATAACGACAATTAATTTGAAGAAAAAAAAAAGAAAGAAATGAACTAACTATATGAAATGGTGTTTAAGTGATTCTTGAAGTATAAAACGTGGTTATATTTTACTGATTTTTTGGGAGAGGGAGGGGGCTTCTGCCCGAAAGGCTTCTTTCTCCCTCCTCTCCCCCGTAGATCCGGCTGTGGTCCTTCTCATAGATTGGTCAGGCATAGACCAAACCTCCAGGTTTGAAAAAAAATAACACACACCATTCATAAGATCCATATGCCTAAAATCTAATCTTAATCTAGGGAATGGTTTAAGCACTGAAGAATCTGATGAATACTATGCATCCAGAGACCAATATTTTTACGAATATTATTAAAACAAGAAGACTATAATAAGAGAAATATTGTCTAACCAGTTCATTGACAAAAATTACGGTACACCGTATTTTAAAATAATATAGTAATGAGAATTTTAATGTATATATTGTTCTGAGACTTACCGACAGCTTCAGCTTAATATACAATAATTCTTGGTTCAATAAGAACTATTGATTGAGACCCAGACTATTGATTGGGTTATAAGGTGGAACATAACATTTTTTTTATATCTAGGAATATCTATTTTGTATTACTCCAATATTTTCAGAACTCACTCTCTTCCTTTTTTTTAATTTTTATATTAAATTATATTTTAAATAAGAAAATTTCGTCTTAGTTGCAAAGATTTTTTGTTCTCATCTTTTTAATTTTTCTTATTTAACTTACAATGGTCTTGTAAATGATAAAGTGTATTTTATCATTCACATGTATGATACATATTCCTTATAATTTGTCTGCATTTATAAAAAATATATTCTTATGTCTAATATAATCTATCTATTTGTGGAAGAGAACTCAGTGAACCGCATTAAAGGAAATCAAAAGTACCAAGCAGGCCATATGGCTAGCTTGGATGAAGAATATAAATAGTTATAAATGTAATTTTTAATTAATTGTGAATATATATATATATATATATATATATATATATATATATATATATATATATATTTATACTTTCAAGTTAAAAAGAAATTCCGTATAACTTGGAAAAAATAACTATTTTTCATTTCAGCGTAATCAATAAAATTAATATTATGGCGTAAAAGTAAAAAAAAATTTTGAGTTGTGTCTGTCTTTTTCAAAGCTAAACAATATGATCTCTTATACAGGTTATAATACCCAGTATGGTATCAAAATATTAAAATTATCTTTGATAAACTAAAAAACAAGAATAGAAAGAACAGAGAGTAAATATAATATTCTATTTAAAAGCATAAAATATTTTTTCACATAGCCTAACTACATCAACACTTGAGCAAAAACACAGAGATGTCCGAGGAATTCATCTAGCTAGCCAAATTCGTGGCTTGAGGATAAGGAAGTTTACATCCAATAAAAAATTGCAGTTTGCAACTTCATTTGGGCCACAAGTTTGGTTTTACATCAACGTGTTTATTCAATAATTAAGAAGGAGTGCATTAAGTATTTTTACTAACCACAGTATCCTCTCAAAATATCCGTTATCAACTTTTTTTTTTTTCTAGGCCTGAAACCACTGCATCATCAGATCTATGCTCTTCGCTCGTATCCACCAGAGCGATCAAGATGCCGAGGAGCACAGACACTACCCCGCAAGTGGCGAAGGTCTTACCCCGGGCCACCCCCGACTGACCCTGAGGATGCAGAAGAGCTAGCGTGAGAGGGAGGACCGTGAGAAGTGACCATGATTCGTGATGGAGCCGTCACATCAGATGGCCGTGAGATAGCCAGTGCCGCCGCTGGGTGTTCCGGCTCGGAGGACCATCCACGAACTGGGGCACCACTTTCATGTTATCCACCGCTTTTATTTTGTTGAGTCTAGCCCTTATTCGCCTTAAGTGCGTCATCTTCCCCTTTCCTACAATCTCCCCCAGAAGATCCCATCTCGGCGCCGCCGTATCATCTCTCGTATACTATTACATCCTTACTTTTGTCAGAAACGTGTACTTTCTTCTGGTGATGAACCTTCTTATCGGTCTACGTACTCCGCCTACAGGTTCCTAGTATAGCCTTGAGACGGTGTGAAAATTTGAATAGGTACTGAAAATACTAGTTATCTTTATTTTAACCTACAATCCAAACCAAAATGCTCTTCTTGCCCCTATTATAGTTTCTAAAATGTCCATCGATACATTGAATAAATCACGCAGGCTGAAAATTATATACTTTTATACAATCATATTTTTAAAAGATAGAATGTAAATTCCAAAGTAAAAGTTTTGGAACTAAGTGAATATTTCATGGGTAAAGTAATCGTTAAGGAGTTTGAAATTTTATGGTATAAGTCCAATTTTCTATGACCAGGTCAGTTAGTGAACAGTAATTTTGGAATATTATTATTATTAAATTTTGGAAAATTTAATTACACTTCAAATGAGCATCTGGATGTTCAACTATAATAAGATATTGTCTTATCAGATTGAAAAGTTTAGACTACTGAGTGACAGATCATACTTTTAACAGAGAAATATTTTATACACCAATATGATTCACAATTTGAAATACTTAAAAGTAAGTAAATGAAATCTTCAGAAGAGTGAAATACTAATTTTAAATTATTTGACTACTGTTAAAATTTAACTCATATAAACGCATATGAACATTGAGCATTTAAGCCCTGTAAAGTGATATCAGCGGGGATAATACCTAAATGATATTAAAGACCACTCAATTATACAATGATGCACGGAGTTTAATCAAAATCGTTAGAGAGTTTTGAGAAAATTGTAAAAATGTGTTTCAGCGATGATATGAAGTATTACTTCCAGTTAGCCGATTTTAAGGGAAAAGCTGCTGTCACATCTAAGGTATAACCTACCTTAAATACGTAATATCAGTTTCGTACAACTTTTCGTTTTTGAGCTGTACTGCTAACATACACACATACAGACACACAGAGACACATACCATTTTTTGGGATTTCATTATTTGAACTCAGGGTACTCTAAAACGTCTATTTCCGTTGAAAACTCAGATTCAAAAATGTTCACGATCGCAATACTTATCCTTACTATATATTACATATATACGTAAGTGAAAGTAAAGAGCTAAGTGAGTAAGGCGTTAGCCCAGTGAGTAAGGCTTCACATCACGGATTCGAGACCGTCTTTGGTAATAGGTAATTATTTATTCTGTTCCTTCAGCCTTGAATCGACCCTGCAGTATTGAGGCTCTCCCTCGGCACACCCAACCTCAACAAAGTGGGTACCCTAAATCAAATAATTATTAAAAGAAAAACCTTTTGGTTGAGCGTGATCTCAGTGACAACTGTTGTTCAGGAAATAGTACTCCCGTACAAATAACTGAATGTAAGACCCTCTATAGGTTTTAGAAGTACAGGATAAAAATGTCTACTTAAAAAAAAATGAATTATTATAACAGGATCATTAAAAGAAGTTGAAGTCCGAAGAGGCTAGTGCACAGCAGTATATAATAAATACTGTTCTTATAAATATGTAGATGTATAGTTGAGTTATGTATTGAGGCATTTGAACAGAGTAATTGTACACTAGACCCACTCCTGCCAGTGATTGTATAAACATTTGAAAGCCTGAGACGTGTAAACTCAACGACACTCTACTAAAAGTAATTCCCTTCCCCCTTGATTTGCTCAACCCTCCACAGGTGGATAGGGCGCAGAGCAGGGGACAGGATTTCTCAAGAATAATTGATGCCTGGAAGTGGCACAACAAAGATAGCAAGCAGTACAAGGCTCCTGGATATCCCTCAGCTCCTGATTAAGACCTGGCCATTGTGCCAGCCGGCCATCACTAACGCCAACCCCCTTCTTCGTGTTATTGCCATTGTCTACTTAGCCTGTCTCCCGATGAGGAGGACTTGTAAATGTGCATTAATGTCTTCGCTACTTATGCATAGGCAGGAGGCACGAAGTGAAAAGTATGATGAAGGTCCCATGTCTTTAGCAATAGTTTCTGTCCTTAAGCGTAGCATACGTTGGAGTGGAGTTGTGTCTTAATGTTGCATTCACCAAAGAGCCTTTAGGAGAAAACATTCAAAGTAGATTGAATTAAAACATAAATTATTATTATCACTCAGGAAGAATGCTGCAGTGTCCAACTCATAAAATATTCTGAAATACAAAGAAAACTCAGAACAGTCATACACTTGAATTTATTAAATGACGAGGTTTTAATAACTTTCTTAAATATGGTAGGTCGCTGTCAATAAACACAAACCGATATCATATTAATGTGATATATGTTTCGAGTGGGATACATACTCTCAACGAAAATCCGAAATCAATTCATTAAAGAAAATGTCAGATGAACCATTTATAACTTGAGGTTTAAAAGACAACTATGTTCCAGAAGGGGGCGGGGTGGCCGAATGGGACAAGCGTGTGCACAGCACCGCGAGTTGCCTGGCAACCGGATAACACAGATTTGAGATGATTAAAAAGTATGAGTTCTCGTCCCGGTGTCGGAAGTTCCAGAGTCTGCTAAATAAGAATAAATTTAGAAATAAAAATTACTCTTTCAAATATTTTTTCCTGCAATAGAGTTTATTAAAATTTGTTATGGGTGCTTAAGAACTATGGTGGCTAACCAGCTGTTCAAGAAGAAGAACTCTTGGGGAATAGGTACATTGTGTGCATAAAAGGTGACCATGGAGGGCTACCTACGTAACGTGCAGTACATTCAATAGCGAAGCATTTTAATATAAATCCCCATCTAACCTGTTGGAATGGAACACTCCAGGTGCGGCCTTGCTCTGGGCAAGTTGGGCCCTAACAGTGGCCACAATGGCTACTTCTATTGCCATGAAATGAAACAAATTTATTACCTACTTATCGTTTTATAGCACTATACAATTAAGATGGCCGAAGTGGTATATTTTACAATTTTACGAGCGATGGTAATGGCTCTGTGGCTCTGGCTAGGTTACCATACTGCCGCGCTCATTAGAATGACGATGGTGGAGCCAAACATTGTAGCCATCTTCCGCTTAAGCACTTTAATATGGATTTTAGTTTGAGTTTATTTTGCTTATTCGTACTATTGGATTGATACAACTCGTTCAATACGATTTTCTAATGACATATCATAAAAAAAAAGGAGAACCAGGCTTGTGTAACAGTCAACATGAAAGTTGCTTGTATTTTGTCATTGAAGGTTGACATTTCGTTCTTGTTGGACTTAGTAAAACTTTCCTATCTTTCTTGAACTATGTTCAAGTATCCACCCATAACTGAAGCCATTAAGGGCGATAGACGCTATTTTGAAAGTTAAATGTTTATGAATAAAAATGTTGGTATTTAAAAAAATTATTTTAATTAAAATCAAACACTCCCGTTATTATGGTTTATTCATCATTTGTTTAGGATTCAATGAAATTATTATTAACAAGGGTGCTCAGCGCAAGCTCGCTTCTCGAGAAATTTCATTGTCCTCTTCTTCTTAAAAAGGAAAGTAGAATCACAAAAATGGTAGTTCATATAAGATTACACCCCTCCCCCTTCCTTGCATTTTCGGCAACACGGGTTTTTTCCAGTTCCGGGGAAGGGAGCAGAGGAATCATTCCCCTACCGGAATGAGTTAAAACCCCCACCGGGTACCGGGAATTGATCTCGTAATATTTTTCCATCCTACTTCAGTCATCTATGTTGGTATTTAAAAAAAATATTTTAATTAAAATCAAACACTCCCGTTATTATGGTTTATTCATCATTTGTTTAGGATTCAATGAAATTATTATTAACAAGGGTGCCCAGCGCAAGCTCGCTTCTCGAGAAATTTCATTGTCCTCTTCTTCTTAAAAAGGAAAGTAGAATCACAAAAATGGTAGTTCATATAAGATTACACCCCTCCCCTTCCTTGCATTTTCGGCAACACGGGTTTTTTCCAGTTCCGGGGAAGGGAGCAGAGGAATCATTCCCCCACCGGAATGAGTTAAAACCCCCACCGGGTACCGTGAATTGATCTCGTAATATTTTTCCATCCTACTTCAGTCATCAACGCGTGGTGCAGTGCACACGCATTAGCCCATTCGGCCACCCCACCGCCTGTATAACATTACACTTGTTTGACGTTTTCCATATTTCTATTGTGCCCAGTTTGAATGCTCTTCAAAATTGAATCCCTCAGAAAAAAATGTGCCCCCTTCAAAAGTTTTGATGGAGCGACTTGTGCTATCTACCCTCCTTTTGTGAACCAACGATTCTCAATTTTGATGAATTGACATGAGTATGAGAACAATAAATTTTCCAAACGTAGCCAAAATATATTTATCTAGTGAACAAAATGGTCCTTAGCGAACATATATTTATTCTGAACCTCAATATTCTCAGAAAATATATATTATGTATACATATTTTTTTTAACTTCATTTCTTTTCAGTCCTTTCAGTCAAAAGTGTTGCGAAGGATAGTTGACGCACCGTTTTATGTCGCAAATGATACACTACATAAAGACTTAAACGTACCTACAATTTTAGATACTGCAAAGGAGAGATACAATAACTTTCACCAAAGACTGACGTACAACATGAATCCCCTGACAGAAATCCTTCATCGTACAAGAAACCCGTACAGCCCACAACGAAGATTACGTAGGCGTTGGCCACGAGACCTGCTGAACTGATTTATATCCCGGACGTGATGGGAAGCTGTGAAGCTGCCAAAAAATTTGCTCATTGCAAAGA